ATAAAAAACTTCAATTTGTTCATCAAATGACTGAAACAACAAATAATATAAATTATTTGTTGTTTCAGTCATTTGATGAACAAATTGAAGTTTTTTATTGGTATTTAAACATTGAACAATTTTATTACCATCTTCTATTGAATTTGATAACATTCGTTGAAATATTTTATCAGAAACTTTTAAATAATTTGGTTTAAATTGTTTGACATAGTTGATTGATAATAATTCATTGTCCTCTTTTTGCTGTTTCTGTTGTTGTTGTACTTTTTCATTAGCATCAGTGACTACATTCGATATTTCGTTATTCGAAGAATTATTTCCTATTGTTGACTTTGTCTTCTTTAGATTTTTTTGTGATATTGATAATTGACTGAAAGATCGACTGACTTGTATGTCGTCTTCATTAAGTTCTTGTCGTTTACGTTTATTTTCTAATCCTGTTCTATGTTGATTGTTCTGTACATTTTGCTAAATAGAATAAAGAAATACATATGGAGAAAGAATTTTTTCTGCTTTCCAAAACAATTAATGTACTTGAATTGGTTGTTCTTCATTATCTTCTTCTGGATTATCGTCAGTATCATCTATCACAATTAAAATATCTTGATTCGTATGATTTGTAGTAGTATTATTCTGTTTGTGTTGTTGACAGTGTAGTCTGCGTCGTTGGTGCTGTCGTTTTCGATTACCATGGCGTTTTTCTTCTTTGGTTGTTTCTCGTTATTATTATCTAAATTTTGTTCTTGTCCAGTTAAAAGTTGAGTTGGTGAAAGTAATTCTTGCCAACGACCTTGAGCATCTTGTAATAAGCCATTGGAGCAAACAATATTTGAAGGAGCGTTGCTCTGAGCCATTCAATTATAATGTAAAAAAAAGAAAATAATAGATTTAAATCTAGAAAACTAAAAGGAGACATATTTATGTTCAAATCCTTTCAAATATAATAATAATTTCACATGATATTATAAAAAGAAAAATAAACTATCACAAGTTTATTTCAATACAATATATTAGTTATATTATACATCATTCAAGTTCAACGATCGTCTGGTAACTTTGAATACCAGTCGTTGCCTTTTTCATATATGACTATATCAACTCCTGGTAGTGCGAATGATGGAACAATGGCTGCTGTTGTTCCTCCTATTGTAGAAGGTACATTTATTGATATGATTGCATCTCAATCTATCGATGATGTGCATGATACATTAGTAGAAGTATCTTGAAGACTTGATATTTCTGATTGAGATGCAAGAATCGAATTTTGTTCAGTATTCATATCTGTTTAAAGAGCTGAATCATTAGTATGCATGCATATTACAAATTAATTCATGTTTAAATATTTTACTTCTCTATTTAGCTCTTTTAGCAATAGTGAATATAAGAGTATAATATACGTTGAAAATATCTTTGTTTGTGTGCACTGATATAGCAATGTATCTAGAAAAAGAATAAATAACTATGAGAACTACAGAATATAATGAATATAGGTACAACAATAAAAGAAAGAAAATGACAAAAAATAGATAACATAAAGAAAAAAACGTTGTTATGGTTAGAACGTCTACACTGTAGCCTAACATTATCACCAGAAGAAATATTATAATGCATAGGAAGAATATAAGTACAAATGTGATGAAATAGATCATTTCCTATTGTATCACTCTATTGCTTGTGGCCATGGTAAATCAATAATGATATGAGTATTCATTGGATTGTAATCATCTAAATAATCTATGAAACCATCATTTTCTTCTTCTTTGTCTTCTACAATTTCTGATGTTGCTTGATTGTCTTGTTTTTGTAATGCTATTTCTTGTTCTTCTCGATACTCTTGTATTTCACGACCAACATTTGTTTGAGTATGAGAATTGGAATCATATACTTGTTGTTCAATCTGAAATATCATTAATTTAAGAAGAAAATATTCAATGAAATTGCTTTTTTTTCTCTATCTTATAAATCTGTACCTTACATCGTGGAATTTTAACATAACACTTCATACAATCAAACAAAACGATCTTCACATCTCTTATTCCAAGTTGTTGATTGTAATTATTAACTTCATTTTCATTTGTTGTCAATGATGTTCTCATAGCATGATTTGATGACTGAGATAATTGCTGAAACAAGAGCGAATATACTTACTTGGTATCATATGTTTTTTTGATCATTTACCTCAATTAAGAATTGTTGATATTGATCATCACTCTTACATGTTCAACTGGAGTTATCTAAAGAGAATTAGAAACGGAGATCCATTTAGACTTGATAGTTAAACACTCAATACCATTAGGAACGACTAATTGATGTTGTTCTTGTGATCCACCAGACATAGTTTCGGGAGTGAGATAATTGTTTTAGAAATGATATCTAAAAGAAACCGAGAAAGAAAATTTATTCTATTGTATTATAAACAACAAGTTCTTAGAGAATTTCTAACAATGAAAAAGTTACATGTTTCTTTATTTTATATTTGTTTTCGACAATATGTATTATACACAAAAAAAAACAAAAATATACATAAACAATTATAAAGATGACCAGAGAGTTTAATGTCTTTTCCCATCGTTGATGTTTTCCCATCTAAACAAGTATTGAAAAGAAATATTACTAAGATAATATCAGTTATCCCAACTTCATTTACTTATATTTCTATTCGATCAAGTTTTAATACCATCACTAATTTAGTCACTGCCAAGCAATCATTAACAGAATATCGAATCATTTGTTGAATGATTTTATTTTCTTTAAAGTTCATTACAGAAGACCTATTATCATTGTTTATATCAAGATTTCAACTCCATCTACTTTTCGTCTGACTTTTATCGAGGAATTCATGACATGCATAAGCTACAGCCATTTGAAGTGACCATTTATGATGAAAGTTTTCGATGGATTGCTGTGTATATGCGCGTAGTCTTTTATTAATATCTAACGAAAGACGAATACGTACATGTTTAACTTTTCTATTGTGCTATTTTTTAAAGAGTTTTTGTATGTCTATATTATTTATTTGTTCGAGTTGGTCAAATGAAAAAAGTCCACATGAAATAAATTTATTCAATTCATTCTTGACATCACCCCATGAATATATACAGTTAGATGAATTTAAGATCATTTTCAGAAGCGATCTTATTAACCAAAATATCACTGATGTTACTTGTGGTAAATGATGTACTTGAATTAATAGTACGATAGATTGATATTTTATGAATTCAATTTGAATCAATGATGGTTGATGTGTATAATAATCATCTTCTGCATCAATGGTGAATCGAGTTGTTTTTCTTGCTTGCTCAATTAAATTATGTAATAGACTAGAAGATGTTGATTGATTAATATGATAGATATAATAATCATTTAATGGATTAAATATTGCTAAAATACTTAATGCCATATTTAATTCACATTTTCGAGCATTTTGATTCATTTTTCTTTTGAGTGACGACGATTATTTTTTGTTTTCTAGATAAACAAAAATTCAGCTTGCTCTATATCTTTTATAGAGAACTTACTTGTTTTGTTGAAGAAAAAGAATGGAATGCTATATTGAAATACACGATGAAATTAAGTAAGAAAGGTTTTCAATAAACTTTATCTATGAAATGGAAAATAATGAGAAGTTTCTTTTCAAAAAAACAAAACAAACAAAGAAACATGATAGTAAGTCAATATTATACAATTCAAAATATACAAGAACAAAAAATTTCGTGTCATAACAACGCTGAATTAATATAGTATAACATAGTTGAAACACTTAAGTCGTCATTGTTGAACTGTAGTATATGGGGGTTTGTCTATTGCTAATAATGTATTTAATGAATGAAAATGTTTAGTTGATAGGATAACTTCAGAGTTTTCTTCTGATAGAGTTGGATGTTTTTGAAAATAATGAGACCAAAGTCGATAAAATTCTCGATTGAATCGACATCTTGAATCAAAATCATAAATATAATTGAATTGAATTAAACGACCATTTTTATTAAATTTTTCAAGTTGTTCTGAAAGTTCATATCGTTGTTCAACGAATTTAAACCATTGTTGACGAAATTTATCATATGTGCTTTGACTTCTTGAATATCGCATAGTTTGAGCATGAAAATAATTGAAAAAATGTTTGACATGAGTTTCAACAAATAATAATGAATAAGCATTAATAAGATAAGTTAATTCAAGAACAATTCGTTCTTGTTGAAAATCATCGACCGATGTACAATAACATACAGCACGAATTAAAGCTGTTTGTAACCAATCACTATGTGCTGATTTTGAATGACCCAAGAGATATGGTAATGTATAACGTGACATGTTGGAATCACAATGTACTTGACTATATAATTGACCTTGTCGATTTTCGATAGAAGCATTCAAAAATTGTACATTTGTACTAATGAATTTTTGAAAACGTACGTTCCAATGTTTTTCTCGAATATTTTCTATAAATGTTTCAAGTTCGATAGCACTTGATTTATTCCATGTAAAAAATATTTGATCTTCATATCTAAAATATTCAATTCGAATTAAACAACTTTATAATTCTAAAAGAAATATGTTAAAAGAATAAATTACCTTCCCAAAAATTCTATGTTTTGATCGATTTCTTTCAATATTTTCTTTTGCCATACAAATAAATAAATATTTGATAATGTTTCTGTTAATCCCATAATATTTGGACTACCTTGTGAACATTTATAGATATTATCCTTGTAATAAAAGATATTATTATAAAGAAATAAATATAAGAGATTTCGAATAGTTTGAATTATTAATGATTCAAGTTTGTTTGTTGCTAAATTATCTTGTAAAAAATAACCAATAACATCGAGCATATTTTGATGTTCATCTAATGTATAAAAATTAGTTATTTTAATTGTACAAAAGAGTGTTGTTGGACGAAGACGATGTTCTGTATTAACATAATGATTTAATTTTCGAATAAAATCAATTTCATCAACAAATGTTGTTGAATGTAAAATTTTATCAGTAAATGGTTGTAATAATTGATTTAAATATTTGCCAATTTTCCATGTTGCACTAAATCGTGATGTAATAATAGGTACTAAAGAAATATCATTTTCCTACATAAGCCAACAAAAAAAGAAAAAATTAAGAACTAAAAGACATGTTTTCTTACCAAATATTTCCAATGTAAGAAAACATGTCTTTTAGTTCT